GAGTTCAGAGCGGGAGGGGCAGACTCCAGGTGTGGATTCTATGTTGATTTCTTTCTCTGTAACATTTCATATATAATACTATATATCACATCCTCTCCTGCAGAAGCTTTCAAAAACTAGGCATCGTCAATTCTTCTATGCCGAATTGTCCGAGATCTGCCCGTCGATCTTTGATCTATCATTACGTTCTTCTAACGATATTCAAATGAAAAGAGAGAGAGGAAAACACACCTCCTTTCTCCTCTCTCTCCGCCTTTTAAACACAGTACACATCTGTCTCGGTGAAAAGTCCGAATATCTCATCTCCCCCCTTTTTCATTCTTATGCAAACTGCATTGGGCCGGTCATTCTCTCTTCGTAACGCTAGCGAAATAATACCAACAAATCTTATAACACTACTAAATAATAGGAGATTAATCGGGTAAACAAACGCAATCTGAGTCCTATATCCTGTGTGGGTGTGTGTGTATGTATATATGAAACGTAATATATATATACTATGCCAACGATATCAGGTTTTATAGGTTAAAAAAAAAGAATAATCTACAAGCATTATAGTTGTGCTGTCGCGTGTTCCTGGTGCTACGAACAAGTACGAAAATCGGGTATCGCCTGACGGTAAGTAGACGAGGCGCTCCATATAACCCGTCAGATAATGAAGGGGTAGCGCAGAAAAGTGGATCTGGCGAGCTACGTTGCCTTTCCTATTATTTATAGATTAGTTATGAAACGTGCCTCAGAGCAGTTAACCGCTGTATCCATTACCTGTAAAATGAGGGGAGAGGTACGGATGTTCCTAGAGTTAGAGACGTCTCCTTACCATGTAACAATGAGGCAGGACGTAGATGAGGCAGTTTAAAGTATTAGTTCTAATCTCTTTATTGGTCGCCCAACTTGCGTTTTACAACCTGCCGATTTCGTTGTGAAAATTGTCCATCCCAATACGCCCACAAAGTGGTAGTGGCAATCAAATATACCAAAAGTGAAATCTGGCGGACCGTAGCGTACTCTATAACGACTAGACTACAAAGTCATCCGTCTCCGGTGCACGCCTCCACTCGTAACGGACGGCTGCAAAAGGTGTGATAGTGGTCTACATATATTAGTATGTAAGATTTATTATTATTGGACCTTTTTATTTTGTGTGTAGCACCGTTTTCTGACCGATCACTTACAACTTTATTAAAACTTTAACTGCCCTGGTAACATTCACCCATTTTCTAAAAAAGGGATCGCCGAAAAACTTGATGCGAGGTACTAAAGACCGGGCTTTAATGAGGTACGTGTCGGATGATGTGCACATACGTGACGAAACTGCGCTCTGAAGAAACCCCTCAAACAGAGTTCCAAATACCATGCCAACGATGACAACAGAGAAAGAGAACGAGAACCGAGCGAGAAATATATAATATTATATATAAGTATAGCGTGAATATATAAATAATCACTATCATAAATAGATAAAATTCCATGTAAGATATATACCGATTGTCGTTATATCACAAAGAAACGAGTGATAGTATAGAGAGCCTTACGGGACACATGTTATCTTACATACATCATGGCCGCACACTCCTAACCATCTGCGTCATCTAAAACTAGACTCAACTATTCGACACTGTGTCCACGAAACACCTTAAGCCCAGAGTTAAAGATAATAGAGAGGACTGCCTTCGAAAAAAAATATACCATGTGAAACATATCAAACATTTGCTTTGATATCTCGAGTAACTCTTTTACCCTGACACCACACACACATGAAGATATACCTTCGTGGCAACTCGACTAAAATTACATCCAAAAGCGTGCCACTCACTCTAAGCTAAAACTTACTTTGTGTTAAATACCTCTTGCCTTTACGGAAATAGCTTTGAAGCGATCACTAGCAATTTTTTCGGCATTCAAAAGTCGCCGAGCCATCATACCGCGCACGTTTGGACGATGCCTCGTAAGACCCATTTCCGCGGTCCCACTAGAGGGTAGGATCGCCGGGGCACGGAGTTTCGACTTCTAAACTCTCTCGCAGCTCCGTCATCAAAACACACCCGGCGACTGATGATAGACACTGTTCATAGGTATTCAACTCAAGCTGGGGCACTACCAGATTGCACAGACTCTCGGGCTACTGTCATGCACCGAACATGACGGCCTCTCCATCGAACAGTGGCTAGCCTATGAGGGAATGTCGTGTTCAATGTCTGTTGAACAAGAATGAAACGCGCACGCTGATTCGAGAGGCATGTTTTGTTCAAATTGCGCGAGGCAGGTGATACTGTTAAACAATTAAATGTAGTCGCGACTTGCGTTCATATTCCTATAGCTTCAACAAACATCGAGAGTTATAGCGTTAGAACTGATCCATTTGCCTACACTAATATAATATGCGAAAGATCTGATCAAATCATATCACGCAAATATAGATTATTAGGCCGTATTATATGTAACTAGCACGTAATTATATATACACCCACATATATACCGATAGTCGAAACATCCACGACAAAATCAAAGCCTCATGTATAGGATTATGTGGTGGTCACCGGAGATATTCTCAAACAAAATAATATATCAAGAAAATCCAATGATAGAACATGTCTATAAAATTTCTAAGTTATGAACTGCTGAATATAAACATGATTCTTATACAGTATAGTAACTATTATGAACGAATTAGGGTATATTACTAATATTATATCTAATTGCCATGTATGTTATGCTGGTAGCTCCATGTCCCAGCCGAACAGGTGGCATTCTGTCAACAGACAAGACCATCTGCCATCACAGGCTAGCCACTTCGGGAAGCGTTAGTGGTCGGGTTACAGTCCTGGGCAATCTCAGCGCGCCAGACTTTAGTTAAACATCTATGAACCATGTGTGACGTTCAAAAGCGGATATCATCCGTAAATTAGGCAAAGAGGTATTTTAAACAAAGTAAAATTTTTAATTTAAGACGGGATGTCCTCTGCAAAGGGAAAAAGAATGAAACAGTAACTGCGTCACATGACTTTAGCCATGTAACAAATTGTACATCGAGTCCATCTGCAACGTAATAACCCCCCTATCATCGTTATAAACCATCTAGGCAAGCAAACCTGTTGAAGTTGAAGCACTCAGAAAAATGTCCAAGGAGATCAGCCCGCTCCATATCCTCCCCTAGACGTTATCCCCTTTACTTCGGCCTCGCTACTGCGTAATAAGGACCTACAGTGGGACGACGAACTTTAAAAGCGCGCACGAAATTCAAGGTAGCAAATTGATTACTGAAGAAACTTTAATAATTTCTGCTGAATATTAGGGGAATAACATTATTTGAAGCATGAAACTAGATTAGCAGGGTATGGGTTGAAACATTAAATGAGCAAGTCATTCTTCGCCATATCCTCTGTGCACATAAATTTAAACATACGATTATAACTGTTTAACTTCTTCCCAATGTTTGATTTATATCGTTTAGCACAAATAAAAAATCCCTCTTGAAAATCTCTTGTAAGCCTAGGGCTAGCCGTTCACTCCTACGCCCCGTGTTTTTCGGCATTCCACTGCATACCCGTGAATATTATTCCCAGGCCGGAAAATAAGAAAGAAAGGTTCGGAAAGAGAGAATTGATCTGGGAAAATGAAAGAATGAAGAGGAGGAAAAGAGGAGGAGATGCCTGCTGGCGGCTCATAGTCATTAGAAGGAGAGAAGAGCTACATGGAAGGCTAAAAATGGTGACCCCACGACCGAGAGGTATGAGCTGCCAGCGAGGACAGGAGGAGGCGGAGGAGGAGAGAGATAGAAAGAAGTGGGCAGAATAGAAGGCCAGAGAACGGGATGAGGTTAGAAAGGAAACGGAGAAGAGATGCAAACCCGTAAATCACACTGCAAGGTAAGCGGTCGCGGTAAAGTGAAAAAAATATGCAAAATGGGATAGCAAAAAGGAGAAAGCTGGAAGAATAGGAAAGGCAAAGGAGTAAGTACACTGGAATCAAAGAGCGGAATGACGGAGAAAGGATAAAGGCGACACCGAATACGTACCTGGTAACTAATCACGGAATGATGATATGTCGAGCGTATTTGGCGAGTATGTGAGTGCTGGTAGTCAACTCCCACTCAAACTCGGCCAGCGTACAGTCTCACAAGCCACCGACAGTGTTCAAAGCGCGTTCACGCGCCGAAAACGTCGACCGTAACGCGAATTGCACGAGGGTAGAGTCGTAGTCACCGTGGCTTCTATTATTCTACTTGCTGGCGTTAACTCGTGCGGAATAAGAAACTGCCGAACCGTCTTTAACGCCGATGACGAATTCATATAAAACTTTCAACTTTACATTAGATGAGACCGGCACAAGAGGGTACACCCAAATATGGGTTCGTTCGCGGGCACGAGTCTAATTCATCTCCTCGGGAGGTCAGTGGAAACCACTATAAAGTAGGAATGAATATCCCAATGCTCTAACGATTAGGCGTAAATTCTAAAACTGTCCCTAGTCGTTTAGAAGCGATCTCTTAGTCTCTATACGTGCTCAATTCTAAGTGTTAAGTTTTAGGTAAAGCCTTACCGTATATAAGCACTATAATAGCATAAATAAGCGTCGGTCTCAACATAACAAAATCACACGAGAGTAATTAAAAAAATCCAAAAAACTCTCGCTATGATGAGTTTCTGTGCATAACCTGAAAACTATTTGGTGAACGAAACCAAAACGGAACATCAATTTAAGAAATTTGGACGAGTGCGTGTCTGGTCTGTTAGATTAATCCCAAAAAGATTCGACGCTGCTCCGCCGTCAATTTTAAGGTTTTTTTGGGATTGTCGCCCGACAACCCAAGAAAGATAGTAAGCATGATGGTTGTCCCTGCAAGAGTTTTGGTTAGTCCGCATATTGATTTAACGACATGTGCTGCATTGCGCCTGGCTCACGTGAATGCCTCAGCTGCTGTAAAAGCACAAAGGCCAATCATGTTACATTTTGTACGTATGGCATTGTGACAAGCAGACATGGCCATCTCGCATTGATTTCACTCCGATAATAATGAAGAGAATAAAATATGTGTAATGTGGTAAATGATGGCTGGGATCAATGACGCTAATAATGTGGTATCATCCCAGCTACGTCATTGTGATAATAGTAATTAAAAGTTGCATGAAATTTATTTCATAACATTTACATTAACACTGTGTCAAGTCACAGATGAGCAAAAATTGAAAATAAAAAAAATAAAATTAATGTAGAGGTTGGACACCGGACAACCACGGAAGCAATTTGTAGTTGCCCAAGAGAAAATCCAGTCGTCACGGATGACCGGACGACTGTTAAAATTGAGCACTGAAGATGCTTTGATGATTGATCTAAAACACCCCGAACGGAACATGATGGGGCTTGCTATGCTTTGACCTAATTAGTGGTTTAATCCATTTTACACCAATGACAGTGTTGATACTGTTGCCGTAGCCTAGTTTATCACCCCAGATTAGTTTAGCACATGTGTTAGTTAGGTAAGGATAATGGGTAGTAATAGGCCTAGCCTAATGTGTCGCCCATATCTGGCGATTTCATGAATCGGTCGATTCTCATCTTAAATTCGTTAGTCGTGGTAGCTGCGATTACGCTCTGTGGGAGTTTATTCCAGGATTGCACCACTCTGGCTGAAAACGTTTTGTCACACCTGGAGTCTGGACCATTGTTTGTATAATTTCATGCTATTTCCTCTTAGTGATATTGTGGAGGCTGGACAAAAGAAAGTGTTTAAGAAAGTATATGCGAAAACACATGGCGGGGGTCCCAAACTGCTCTTGATTCGACAATGTTGCTACGCCCTTTTAAAGCACCGATGTTAGATTTGTTCATTGTCAGTTTTATGAGTGTAAACGACAACAGGCTGCTCTAATCACATGGCACAACATGTCAGGTTGTAAGTGCTAACTGTGCGTTAGTTTACACACCCTCTTATGTACCTGGAGCCTACATGAAGTAGTCATGGCAACAGGATGGTTTTCATAGTTATCAGTTCAATTAGGAAATTTTTTTAAATGTATGTATCTATTGTTTTTATAATATAGCATTAAAAATTACCAACTGGTATAGTTCACAAATTTTAGTTTGATATATAACTAGGTTGGGCTTACAGCACTTGTTTAGACAATTATTTAATCACAATACATTCGTGGGATTTCTGAGAGACAATCTTTTATGGTATTGCTAGTGTGAACACAAATTCACACTCATACTCACTCCTGTGATGAGTCAACTTTCTACTCTTACGATTTATGGGATTTGAAGCAAAGACAATACATTCAGCTTCAGGATGTTTGTCTTAGTTGCAGCAGAAAAATGAATCGTATGTAAACCAGCCAGCAAGTCCTCAATGCCTAGATGTCACTTCATGTGCCTTTTATACTCCACTGTTTTGTAAGTATGTCACACTTCAATTTCAGAACAAATGTGGTGATGAACTATACCGAAGTTGAGACAAAGGTCAGGGAAGCGACCAATGATGAACCATGGGGCCCAACAGGACCTCTAATGGGAGAGATAGCTCAGTACACATATACATACGAACATTTCCCTGAAGTAATGGGTATGCTGTGGAAAAGAATGCTGCAAGATACCAAGAAATACTGGAGGCAGACATATAAGGTATTGTCGCCTGTTTATGTACATTAATATTTTACGTTGTGAAAGTAGTATGTTCCAGGAAAACGTTTTCAATGTGAGATTCCATAACGTAAATCTCGTTTTCCTATCGACTTCTATTATGTAATTGGAAGTGCATTCCTACCAAAAGTTTTTCGACTAGTTAAGTAAGTATGTGAACTCCGCATTTCCTGCAGTACAAGCATAATTTTGAATGCAAGTATTTATTGTTAAACATTGTTTATTGTTGGGTTATGGTGTACTGTTAGGAATATTATCCCACACAAGAAGTACAATAGACTCAGGGCGCTGGTTGTAGGAACTTGCTCATTTCATTTACATGGATCCTGTAGCTGTCTATCTCTAGGATGCCACCATATAATAACCACCGACACCAGTCAAAAAATTACACGGGGGCGGCGGGTAAAATTGCCCCAGATATTCCCAAAAGAGCTCCCAAAAATCTGATTACGGGAGCGACAGTTAAAAAGAAAACTGTTCGAAATCGCCCCCGTAATCTCACGCCTCGAAGTCAATGCATTGCCATTGGTTACACTAGCCAGCTGCAACTGCAAGCTGCTGAAAACCCGCAATGCCTGAGCTAGTGTCTCAGCTCCAGCACAATTGCAATATAGCGATTTCCAATACCAGGAAAGAGTTGTTGTCGCTCTCTCATACCAACGGTGCCCACTCCCTACATATGTAATAATGAACATGCCCCACGTGACTGAAACCAACAGTGCACCCCCCCCCTCCCCGTACTTCAATCAATGCTGCCCCAGCCAGCAAGTACGTACGCTGCCACGATGTGCACAGCCAAAGACGTGGGTAACACGGGTTTGTGAAACTTTGTGAATAACAAGGTTAAAGTGCAAAGAAAGTAGCCTTGGAAAAGAGTAGCTCCCAAAGTGGTAAAAATAGTCCCAGAAAATTGAAAAAGTAGCCCCCGACATTTTTTAAGGAGTTGGAAAAAGAGCCCCGGAAATAAAAAAAATTAATTTTTTCCCTGGCCGACCCCATATTTCCCGTGATACCTTGTGCCATGGGCAGAATGGGGAAGTTATGCTCTGCATAGTCACAATCATAACAGAGATACTACCAGGGTACAGTGGTTAGTGTGTCCACCGTTCACTGCGAAGGCTGTGTAAGTCGAAATTCCGGCCAGGACAGTAAAGGTGTAATAATCTGGCTTTCAACGTTGGGGACCGTGTATCGCTTGTCGCTAGCATTACCACGTAGAATATTCAGCAGAAGGTTATGGTGAACCACTACTGTATCTTGCCAAATTCCAATATGACTATATTAAGTCATTATTGTGTTAAAATGTACTGCGTTAACTACAGAGCATACACCAAGTTTAAGCTGAAGACAATGTACAATGTACATACACTGCATTCAAGTGGCAGCTTGACTGTTTTGGCATTGGGCCAATAGCCAGAAAACGTTGGTTGCAGTACATCTAATTCTTTTTAGTGTCCCATTTCATTATGCTGCAGAGCATTATAAAAACTTTAAAATCTTTGTTAGCCTCGATTTTCACAATTCACACATACTTTTTTCCAACAGATCATATATCGAATTAAATGTGCCATTATATATGATAAATACCATCTATCTTTTTAAAAACGTATTCAACGATATGTTCGTTTACTCAGCATTCTATTCCCCTATTTCTGTCATTTATAACAAGCCTACGATAGCTATTCTGTGTGCTTTCTTAAAACGGGATACGCCAGTCAAAGTCAACAAGAGCAGTGTGTGCCATTTCCGTGGTCGTTTGCGGATGTGATGTTTTGAATGTAAGCATTGTCCAAAACAATGCATTTTGAATGTGAAATTCTAATCTTGCTTGTGACATTATTATTTAGGACACCCAGACCCCCATTAACGTCGTTTCATTCAACATTGTTTCGTTATAATGTTTTTGAGAAAAAAGTACCACTGTTACTGATATGTCGGCTATATTATAAGAACTATTGAGTAAAACTGTACCATTTATTTACCAATGGATTTTTGCTTAAATATTTGATTATAAAAATTTAATGTTTGAAACTTAGGCGTGAGTGCATTATTAACTTTTTTAGTACATATAAGCTATCTTTGTTGAATACACGATCAGATTGCAGAGCTCTTCATGTAACTCATTTGAGTTGAATTCACGGCTTTCAGTAACCTAACTATGATATTTATGGGGAATTGGTGTAGTTCTGTAGTAAGTGATTATATGTAGATAGATAATTATTCGTTGAAATTTACAACTATGATTATATATTAATGCGCAAAGTTTTGTCTACTAGATCTTCTGTCTCTTTAGTTCTACTAAAATTCGTCTCTGTGCCATTAAATTTAAAAAGCTGCTTACACCGAAGCTGAAATCGCACATTTACTGCCTTTACCCAACACAGCGCAAAGCATCACGGGTAGTAGGTGTCCGTAGTTCGTATATAGTGCCCTCCTTTCCTCTAAGTCTAAGGGTATGAACTGGGAAAGTACCTACCCATATAGGGGAATATTAAAACACTGGCCTGTCTGACTTGTTGGAAGTTTGTTACATTAATTTTGTTAAGGGTTGTTGAGCATGCTAAGTTAAACTTAATGTAGGTAGAAAAACCTGTTAATTTCTTTGAAAATTTCTTATTTTGTATTGTGAGTGTAGTGATCATAATTTACAAATTACATAAGTGCACATTTATGTGACCTAAGTTATTTATCTTTAGCAATTGATTTATGGACCTGACTCCTGAGCGAGATGGCCATGGATTTCATGCACATTGCTGCTAGGTTTTTCAAGCTTTGAGTTTTTTTACATGTATGGTTTTACATGTAGGCAGAGAGTCTTACTAGACGAAGTCAGATGCAGCTTGTAGAATCGCATGAATGTCCGTCCGTCTGTGTGTCAACAGTTACGGCACAAATCTTAACCGCTCGATGTACGATCTTGATATTCGGGACGTGGGGGGAGGGGGGTCGCGAAAAGGACTCGGGATGTTGAATTTGGGGGTCAAGGGTCAAAGATCGAGCGGTGTCAATGGAGGGGGAATATTTCCCCCTTAACTTAAGGTATAGGAGGAAATACGGAAATGTGATACAACTATCACTATCAACGGCTCGACCTACGCTCTTAATATTCGGTGTATAGTGTGATGGGGAGGAAACCCATCACCAGTGCGAAATTGGAGGTCACAGGTCAAAGGGCACTGGGGGAAAGGTCAGATATCAGACATTTTCTGAGGACATGGGGGCCGTTGTCAGAAACAAAATTAGTCAACATTAGTCTTAACATTAACTTCCACTCGTAAACCGTTGACAGAAACATCGTAATGTTACGAGAACGAAAAATCCTCGGAAATTTCCTCCTAACATTACGAGAGCCCAGACCCTCTCGTAACTTTAATATTAAGATGAAAATAACACATTTAGACTAAGAATTACAATTATAGTGACATTAGATTGTATATTAATGAGTAATATGTGTGTTTTTCTTGAAAAACACGTCACAAACATTAATTATCTACCGCTAATAAAACAAAACAATACATTTACAAATGGCGTATGGCATTTGTTCTCTTGTTTTAAATGCTTGCCATGCTTGCCACGACTCTCGCGTCTCGTGTTACAGTGTGAGAATTTATCTTGTTGTGCTGCTTGTGCAGAATAAATTCAATACCGTGTTGTTTTTCATCAAATATTATTTATATGTGGTTAGCCATCATAATATGCATAAATTACTGTGATGTACAATAAATGTGTATGAATTTGAATTTTGTGATCGATTCTCATCCAATCAGCAGCCTTGTGACATCAAATTATGAAGTTCCTGTTTATATCGTGAGTTTTCTAATAGCTGCGATGTGTTTCTCTCAACGCTTCTCTCGTAACATTAACATTAGTCGTAAGTGTTATCTTGGCATTAACATTAGCATTAACTTTATGATGTTTCTGACAACGGCCCCATGGTCTAACGGACCGAGTGCAAAACTTTTTTGTTTTAGCGCTGACCTACCATTTTTATCACTTTATTGAAAGGACCATGAAATCTACTTTCCACTGACATGCAAAGAGTAAGTGTCTGATAACCTTTTGACCCTCAAGAGGAGGGTTAAACATGGATTTGTTGACTGTTAAACTGCACTGAACTGCTAAATTGCTATTAGAGCCCCCTCCAGCCACCCCTCCCCCACCATCCCCCCACCACCACCACTACGCTCGCGCTCGACGCATATCCATGATAACGTTAATATGGCGAAGTCATTAAAGTTACACAGTTATATCTTTATTACTGTACTACCGGTATAGCAAAGCCTATCAACGCGGTGGCGGGAGGGCGCACTTGATTCGGTTGCCAGTGAGTTTATCAGAAGAATACCCGGCTACAGTACACGTCAGTTGAGCGCTGTCGCTCTGCGGCATTTGTTAGAATGTCCAATTGCAGTACTGATTGGCAGCATGGCCTGGCAAGCACACCATATAGTTAAAGGTCATTTGAGATTATTGATAATTAAAACTACAGGAGCTCAACAAATATGATGTGGTAAAAGTGGAGGGGTCAAAATTAGCAGAAAACTGCTACATTTGCTTTGGGAAAGTACAATAGCTAAAAGTAAGGCAGCCAAGGTCGACCCTTCTCTGTATTTTCTAGGTAATTGGTTAGCAATGTGCATAACAGCTACAATATGCTTTAGCTGAGAGATTTTTTGTAGGAATGCATCTTCAGTTATATATGATGGTAGTCAGTACACAGTCATAATTCACATTGTAGATTATTGCATTACAAACGTTTTGGCTGTAATGCATTAACATTACTGTTAATGTTATGCAGCATACTGTTATACAGAATGCATCACGTACCAGTTGTGGCATCTTAGTCTTACTGCATTTTATGTTAAATACAACGAAATATTTATTAGGATGAAGAAGACACATTATATTATTGCAGCCGATTAGCAGTGCCAGCTATCGCATGTGTGTACTAAGTATTGGTACATTTATTGATATTTGTGACTCACTATGTATATACATGGACCAATACGTTTCTTTATATGACCTCAATTTTATGTGTGTGTAAATAATAGCATTTGTTTGGGAAACAGTTTAATGCAGGCATGATCATTGGTATTGGCAATGGGTTGCATTGCAGTCTTTGCTCCTTCTCTCTTATCTCGTGCGCAATGGCTCTGAGAGAGTTGTGACAAGTGCAAGGGAGCACATCTATGATCTGAGAAGATTGGAGAACTACCAACATATTGATGAGCTGGGAAAAGATCAGGGTGTAAATGGTAGGTTTTAACAGGTAAAAAGTATTGCTTTAAAGGGGTATTTGTTTTAGAATTTTAAATTAGTGCACCTTGTACTGAGTTGTAGAACACAGCAATCCAAACGAGTGATATTATTATTAGGGATTTTTATGCAAGAATAGCCGCGTTCACACGTAGCAAGAAATCCGGTATTTAGCGTTCACACGAGGCAAAATCCGAGGCCCAAGAAATACGGTATCTAAACAGATCCGGTATTTCATGTAAATACGAGGCTTCCCAGACCCCGAATAATTTGCCGTGCTTGAGAAATAACGGATTTCTTGGACCGCGCATTTCCTCGTGTGAACGCTAAATACCGGATTTCTGATGCTGCGTATTTTATAGACTGGTCCGCGCTCGACAGTTCTAGTGTAACGCGAGTGGAACTGTCGAGCGCGGACCAGTCTACTTATTTTATCGGCAGTTGGTGTGCATTGCATTGTTTATTTCGCATTGTTCGCTTGATTGTTTAAAGCAGCTCGCAGTTCGCAAATACCGTATTTCTGGAGCCGCGAATCAGCGTGTGAACGCTCGGCCGCGTATTTGTCTCAGATACGGTATTTCGCAAATCCGGTATTTCAGAAATACGAGGTCTCGTGTGAACGAGGCTAATATCAAATGTGTAGTGTGTATTGTTTTTCAAACCATTTTTTTAATGAAAATTAGGATTCATGCATCCTATTTTTTAAAACATGCGTCATGTTTGCAGTAAGACAAAAGGTGAAGGATCTGATAGACTTCATTCAAGATGACGATCGGCTTAGAGAGGAGCGCAAGAAGGCAAAGAAAAACAAGGATAAGTACATTGGCTTATCCGGAGGCGAGGGTAGATATGGTAAGTATAAATAATCTTTCATTGTGTCTTTCCAATCCTTTTATAGTGTTAATAATGCTAGGATTGTGCTATATACGTAACAGTTCTAAAACTGAGTATTATTCAGGGGGTTAAATGAGAAAAATCTATTACTTTACATTTGGAAAAGTGACAGCTGTAATTAATTAATATTTTGCCAAAGTTTTAGGCTTTCCTGGCAAAAAGATCAGTCAGATACTGCAGCTATTTATATTCACGTTTACATGCCTTTTTAAATAAGAGGGAGCCTTAGTAAGGTTATACAGCGTAGCACCAAAAATACTCAGTGAATAAGCAAGGAAAATATTGATTTTAAGGATGGCACTCTGATGGATGTGAAAATGATCGTGAATGCAGTTTCGAGGTCCTTGATATCCCCAGTCATCAGGGGGACGTCTCTGGATTCCCACTTAGCGAACTGTTAATGCAATTGTACTTAATAGTTAAACACATCATTACCTAGGCTACCCTAATCAAAATTCTAGGCAAAGCCCTGAGTTTGTGTCCATAAAATCTCATATTCATCTGAATAAGTCTTGTACATGCTGCATTCTTAGTTTTAGTGTAGTTATTATACAAGTACACCAGCGATTTTCCAGCAGTTGATGGTTTGGCACCTTTTTTAGTCTAGCCAAAATTACGCACTCATTCGAATTGTTTAAACTGCACTTGTTGGTGGTGAATCCGTGATTTTGTGAGATTTATAGCCTAGGTTGCTCACATTTAAGCCTTATAATACTTCTAAGAGAGATGCAAATGTTAGTTGGAGGTGTCAAGCTTAAAGCCGCACTATGCGCATCCAGACGCTAATTTCTCCAGTACTAGACTAGCAAATACTTCGTGTCATGCATAATCACACTATAATGTATGCATAATCTAGTTTCTCCCATTTCACTGCGCGTTTGCTTAAAACCCACAAGAAAGAGGGGAGAAAACTGGCATTCTGGCGCCAACGCCGACTTGTTTGCCAAACAATTTAGCCTCGAAGCGGTTAGGTGACGTCACATGTTTTTATCTTTGCTACACCCGTACCGCTGTAGCGCAGCACCGCTGTATCACTGTACCGCAGCACCGCTGTGCGGTTGCTTGGCAGGGCAACGCGAAAGTGTCAACAACATTGGAGGTATTTTCAAATGCCTTTTATAAGACAACGCTCAGTGAAATGGGAGGAACTAGAGTTTATTTTGTCATAAGGTAGTGTGATTATGCATGACACGAAGTATTTGCTAGTCTAGTACTGGAGAAATTAGCGTTTGGATGCGCATAGTGCGGCTTTAAACACCACCAGTCCATATCAATCCATCCATCATACCCACTGATATCTCTACCCACGAGATTAAGTCTTGGAGCCCAGATGTCTCCTAATTTTCAGCATTTGGAGACGTTTGTCACCTAAAGATTGAAACCTACCTCAAAGATTGAGTGCATTCCAGTACTGGTTACCAGCTACTTGTTTAGTTGTCAGCCTGCTCAGTTTGGCACAAATTCAAACATGTCACTTGTGTAAATATCAATTAAAATTTGGGTCAGATCTTCGTTCAAACTTCACTGCTTTCAGGAGATCGATGGGATGACAGCCAGTGGCGGGGTAGTAGTGTTGGCGGAGGCATGAGATCACAATTCTCAGATATGGATAGCTGGAAGGAACCGTCAACTGTGGAGAAGATTGAATCAAAAATTCGAGAGACTCTAAATATCGCACGGGGACGCACGGAAGACCAGCCAGACGTTAGGTAATGTGGTTCATCTGTGTGTGCATGTCTAAGATATGAGCTTATTAAATATTATTAATTAGTGTGTGCATGACTTTCCCTAATTTTTTTCCATGCACTTATAAGGGAAGTTATCATGCCGCATGATAACTTCCCTTATAAGTGCATGGATTGCCCATATCACAATTTTCTGCCAAGTCATCACAGTAATATATCTATGCTACGTGCAAGTGTGCATGTAATAGTAGGCGTGTGAATGTGCATGTATGTATGCGCATTCATTTATATGTGCGTGTGTAGTTAGTATGCGTTGTCAGGAGTCTCATCATATATACTTAAAGGGATCGTTTACTCTAGGTTCTAGGGTTATTTTCAGTTAATTTAGGTTAAAATTACGCTACATAAAAAGTTTCATGGTTCAATCACCATTACAAATATTATAAAAAAATGTTTTAAAACTAACAACTACAGTTTGATTACAACGACGGTGGCGCCACTCAAAGCGCACGATCTGATGATATGCGCAAAACCACTTTTCAGTCAACATACCGAGGGTGTTTCTTATTTATTAATTTAAAAGCAAAAGGATTGTAATCTCTTATAAACGACATATAGTTTCAGTTATAATATGGATAAATTTGCCCTAAAATGAATATCGTTTGGTTAAATAGCATTTAGGTATACATATAATTGCACTTTTGTGATTAGCCCTCTATGTACATGTTGGTTCACTTGCAGTAATGAAGATGATGACTTCAAGTATGACTCGGATAACGGTTGGGGCCAAGGCCGCCGTGAGTATTGTGATGATGAAGATTCCTGGACACAGAGTCGGTCAGAGAATAGCAGTCCAGCTAAGCGACCCAATACGAAAGCACCCAAGAAGCTTGATCTTGGTGCAGCTGCCTCCTTCAGCAGTTCAGAGGGCAGAACGGTATGTAATTATCCCTATCACATCTGTCATTGAAATATCAGGTTGCAATGCAAACAAATTAATCAGGTTGACTTTATCCTAAATTCTGTTGTGAGAGAAATGGTAAGATGATTTTGTTTAATCATAACAGTGCTTCTTATCTTTTTCTAAGTGTGTAAATCGACTCGTTGGGTTTAGAGCGTGGTATTTGTTTGCAGCGTAGTCCAACTAAATCTGCAGTAGTTGATGAAGTGGAATCACCACCTACTTCTAAACCTCAAGCAAGTGCCAAACCTTCTGCTATAGATCTCTTGGGTGACCTGGAGGGCAACTCTGCCTTCACTCAAGTTTCTGCAGATCCCTTTATTTCCTCCAAATCAGCAGGTAGGGAACCTGGGTCATAGTAAACATTGGATTGCTGTGATTATTCTAAATGGTCAGTTTGCACTTTATTAGCAGACCTAACATGATGTCATTGTATAACCTTGTAGTCAGGTCCCTTAGCTTCATGATCATTACAGAGCTGACAAAAGCATCAAACTTGGCACAGTTGTAGCCTATGGCAGTACTATAAATATTAGAGGGGGTGCCCAATGTAGATATTCCTTATAGTCAGGTCCCTTAGCTTCATGATCGTTACAGAGCTGAAAAAAGCATCAAACTTGGCACAGTTGTAGCCTATGGCAGTACTATAAATATTAGAGGGGGTGCCCAATGTAGATATTCCTTAGAAGTGAATTACAGATGATTAAATGTTCGAACTGCGCCTGCCTGTACTGGTACATTGTATACAGCTGTTAACCCCCCCCCCCCCGCATACGCTATTGCGCTATAGGCGGCATGAAAGTGTATTAACTCTCATATCTCGCGAACGAATTGAGATACATTTCTAGAAATCTAGATACATGTCTTAGCTATGGTCTCTGTGAATTTTGAGTTTATTAAAGCACGAACAGTTTAATTAATTACCAAAAATATACGCACGGTATCGCTCATAGGATAATATATATACGCGCGGCTATGGCCCGTAGGATAGTGTACTAACTGTAATATCTCGCGAACGATTTGAGTTACATTTTCTAAAATTCTAGATGCATATAAAAACATCTTAGCTATGGTCTCTGTGAATTTTGAGTTTATTAAAGAACGAATAGTTTTAATTAATTACCAAAAATATACGGACGGTATCGCTCATAGGCTAATATATACGCGCGGCTATGGCCCGTAGGATAGTGTACTAACTCTAATATCTTGCGAGTATTTGAGTTACATTTCTAAAATTATAGACACCTATAGACGCATGTCTTAGCTATTCTCTCTGTGAATATTGAGTTTATTGACGCATGATTAGTCAATATATTAGCAAATATATGCGTGCGGAAGTGAATTACAGATGATTAAATGTTCGAACCACCCGACTCTGAACCCCCCCTACCGTGCCCGCCTGTACTGTGTGTACTGGCGCATTGTACAGCTGGTAGACAGGTCAGTTGTATGTTTTATGTGACCTTACGATTAAGCCATGGTTTTTATGTTATGATGATTCATTCAATTTTAGCCACTGAAAATGGAGAGTTTGGAGATTTTTCTCAATTTTCTTCAGGTGCTACAACAACAAAAGCAACGTAAGTTGATGTGACTTCTTTGTGTCACTTGCAATTTACCTCAACTTAGTTTTACTACTTAGCAGACTCGTAGGCAATTAAAGTTTGACCACATATATGGTGTACAGGGTAAACGTCGTCCGTAACGTGTTGGTTCAACAGCTTGATGGTATTGTTTCATAATGCTGTAAACTTGTACTATTAGATGCTTATTGCTATAGAACTATTCCCCTGTCATATAGAGTTAGTATTCAATACAGTCATACTATTAGTATTCAAATGTATGCATTATTTATCCTTTATTAAATCTCGGCTTTGATGGTTTGGAAGTTTTACTAACCCAGAACTGGTCGGGTGCCAAGCTCTCTGGATAAGTGACTTCTGGTTTCTATGAGGTTTTCTATACGTGGCATGGAAAACACATTAATTCTAACTAATAAGCCTGCTCGCAGCACAACCTGCATACATGTCAATAATGAAAGAATTATTGGATTGGATTGCTTTGATTTACCAGAAACAAGTACATGTATATTCATTAGTTAATACTAAGAAAGTTGGTTGGAATACATTACACATCTTTTTGCAGTGATGATTTCGCAGATTTTTCGGCATTCCAATCTCAGAGCACCCAGCCTTCAACATCTGCTGGTCAAGTGGCTCAACAGTCTACGGCCCAACAGGTGGCAGTACAGCCTAACTTTCAGTCTCAGCAGTTTATTGGACAAAACTTGGTAAGTGTCATTAATCAGTAATCACTCCTGCGCTTGCCAGCACTCGTGAGCAATTGATAACTTATGATCACCATAAAACACCCCATTCGGTGCTAATGTTCACAAGAGTTATCAATGTGTTTGCTTATGGAGTGACAACATGTTTGCATAGGGTGCATAGGGTTGCATAGGGTGTTGCATATGGGAGGGGGGTCTAGGGGACCCTCCATCAGAAATTTTTTGAAATTAGACCTCCTTAGATGCGTTTTCTGCACGAGCAGGGGGGGTCCGGACCTCCTGGACCCCCCCCCCCCCTGTACACGCCCCTGCATAAGCAAAATGAAGAACCAACGTGTAGAACCAAGATGTATTGTCATGAATATTTTGACATCATGTTTGTTTTATTAATGCAGTCGCACAGCGAATTTTTCCAATCAAGCGCACTTTGCACTAATCGACAGTTCAATGAGAAGACTGCTGCTGCATGGCAGAAACTAACTTTTTGAACCGCGGTTGAGCTTTTGACAGACTGACTCTCATGTCTCTGTGGATGTCAAGGCGGTTACGGGCTGAAAAGCCTGCTTCACACAGGTAGCTGGTTACAAACGTAACTAGAACGGAAATAGCTTCACGAGCCATAGCCAGGCCTTGCCTATCTGCTGACTACACCAAAATTCAGTTACTAATGTTGTTTCTAGGAGGCTCTTCAGTGGCTGTTTAGGAATAATGTCGCTACTGCCCTGATGCACAGAGGGGTAACCCTACCGCGCTCGTGCTGCGGGGACATATGTCTACTGCTGCGCTGGCACACGTAGGGTTCCTCCTTCTCCCTCCGGCCCATGCTGCGTGGGCCCTGCTGCTGCTGCACTGGCATATTTAGGGTCCCTCCCCCTCCTCCCTGCGGCCCGTGCTGCTGCGTGGGCCTCGCTGCTGCTGCTGCTGTGCTGGCACGCGGAGGGTACCACTCTGTCGCTTGCTTGCCTCGACCGAAAACCATGATTTGTTGGCACTGTCGATAGAGATGCCTGAATCACTCGCTGATTATTATATAGCACTACTTTTTTTAAATTGTCTAAGAGGCTTTCCAGGTACCCCCTGTGGTGTTCGCTGGTACCCCCGGGGGGTACTAGTACCCCCGGTTGGTAACCAGGGCACTGGAGGTTGAATGGCATGGGTTAGTTGTCTGGGGAGGGGGGGGGGGTTGAATGGTATGGGATAATTGTCCGGACTCTGGAGGCTAACTGTCCGGGGGTGGTCGCCCAAGAGGTAATTATCCAGAGGGTACTTGTCTTCATACCTTGTAATCCGGCCCAAAAGTTTCAAGGTATCTGGGCCAGAGTATATTGGACATGCAATAGACATAGCAATTTTCAACAATAACCATAAGCATGCTTCTATTTAATTTGTATAGGGTATGCCTATGCAGCCTGGTCAGTCCTCCATGTCGATGAACCCAACCCAGAGTATGATGATGTCACAACCTGTTGCACAAACACAGCAGGGAGTGATGACTGCACAGCCTTCCGTAACACCAATGCACCAGGGAATGATGACACAGCCTTCTGCAACACCAATGCCCCAGGGAATGGTGATGACACAGCCTTCTGTAGTACCATCTCAGCCAGCAATGGTACCACAGTCAGGCATACCAACCACACCACAAGGAATGATGCTGTCTCAAGAGCCAAGGATTTTGTCGCAACAAGGATTGGTAATGCAGTCAAAGGGTATGATGGCACAGCAGAATTCACAAGGAATGGTATCAGTACAACAACAGGGAATGATGCCAACTGCGATGGACATGCACCAGGTATTCAGCTCTGAGAAATATAAACTTTCTACTTTTTTTTTGCAGTGTATTTAAATGTGTATGTATGTAATTGTCAGCACATTGCAAACTTCTTGTCTTCTTGTGTCTGGTTCTGCTTCAGTTTTCCTTATTACATATCCTTTATCAGTGTTGGAATGGGTGGAAAAGAATGCATTTAAATTTGAAAAATACTGGCACAGCCTTACTGTCACACATGTATGTATCCTGCACCTGTAGTGTTTATGCATGCTGGCTGTTAAATGGGAGACTGTCTTATGTCTTTGAGAGCAGATGGGACAAGGAGGTGGCCTGCAGCCTCGGATGCTCCTCATGAACACAAGTGCTTCATACAATAAGGTATTAATTACTACCTGTCTGCTACTGTCTGTGTGTACTCATATGCCCCCTCTGAAATTCTGATAACAGCACACTTCCTTCTGGCAGGGGGTTTCACCATCTTTGCGAATGTTGTCCATGATTGAATGATCTTATTTCTGTTTTATCATTGAATTTTAGCAGAGTACCATTACTACTAGGGTTTCCTTTCGAGAGGACAAGATGGTCAATATTATATGAAATTTTTAGATATAATAATGTAACTCTGTGAGTGTAGGGTTAAGAGCCATTCCTATGCTCAACGTGAAGCAGTACCATGAGTGATACAATCTACCTTTATAATAGTTTTATCTGTGAAACTAATCTTTCCTCAGTCCTGAGTGCAATCGGTTACCACAATTAACAATTAAAAAAGCTATTATGTCTGAATCAAAAATTAGAAATCTACAAACTGTCTTTACAATAGACATTTCAATTGCCCAATCAATTTCCTGTTATACCTGAAATTCGACTCATGGACATGTCATGAACATGTATCAAACTTTTGTGATTATCCCTCGGCAGAAGTACAACTTTGTCAGGGTGGCAGCACAATCACATTGTGTCATGTCAGCGGTCAAAAATAAAGATTTCAAAACTCACTGTTGTTTTATGACAAATCTGAATGCGTGATTGCAAAAATGTGTAGGTATATACTATTATTTATGCACTTTAACTTACTATCATCATAAACTCTATAATTATAGAGTATAATATCCCTTTAAATTGTTATGGAGCTAAGTAAGCTTAAGAATAAATAAACCCTGTGAGTGGAGTAGTCTGGACATTGCTTCAGTGCCAACATTGACATGGCTCATAACCTTGCTTACAGATTATGATGTCACATATAGAAGTTTATGTAATATGTTTAACCCTGTTACATTTAAAAGTTATTAACTTTATCGTTTATGGAGCATTTTCACATGTAACTGAAGTCAAGAATTTTGGCATTGTAATAGAGTGAGGTATTACTGTAGAAATCTTGTGCGTTGCACAATTAACTAAACTTGTGTTTTCTACAGCCAAATACATGGAGCAATGTTGGGATTAACATCAGCCTAGACAGCCTGAGCAATCCTGGTAGCCAGTATCAGAAACAGCAGCAGCCCAGCATGAACCAGCTTCGTTCTCCACCGCAAGGTAGTTGCTGTTCCCCCGAATGCATGCTATGTGTATATTCCCATGTGGTTTGAGTGTGCTTGGGTCTTCATAAAGCAATGATTTCACGTTTTTCCCAACCGTTTTCATGTTTTCTGGAACATTCCAATACCTGTCGGTAGTCCTTGCATAACAACAAGCACTTATAGTAAGGCTAACATGTAGTGGAACGTTCACACATTCTTTTAACTGATATGTGCACCGATCTGCATTTCAAATTAGATTTGTTTACATAGGTCAACATCGCTAGTGCGTAATTCTCACCCTCGCGAGATGCCGTCAACTGGCATCCTGTTTGTACACTATGTTAGTTACCTTTTTCCATATGTTGAGAGGGGTACCAGTGTAGAGAAATTTACAGCACGTAAATACTTGGATTTGCTTTGTACATATTTCCTTTTATTGTTTTGCTGTTCATTTACTGTTTAATATCCTATAACAGCTCAAACTCATAGCAATTTTTAGGCTGAAGTAATCAGTAATATGTATGCTGACACATGAAACTAAATATGTCTATATTTGTTAATTTCTCAATTTATTTGAGAGATGATCAATTTAAATGGACAGCTAGGAGTTGTTTAAGACGATGATTCAGTACATGTCAATACCACAAATATTTACATGTTCTTCAACATTATCAAACCATAGAAGTTGTGTCTTTAACAGGACTGCCTCCCACAGGAATGATGGGTGTGCCACAACAGCAAGCAACAGCCTCACCGGTCAACCAGCAGCAAGGATTTGCCAACTTCAGTGGGTTGTGACACTCTTCCACATCTTCAGCACAATTGCTACATTGCTGATGGTCAGGATCACTGATTTATTACGTTTCTACTGTCTATACAGAGTAAATGGAGTGCATCATAAGTTGTGTGTGTGAGCATGTATGTGTGCGTGTGCGTGTGCGTGTGCGTGTGTGTGTGTATGTGTGCGTGTGCGTGTGATTTCAGGAGTGTGGAGACATGTTGAGTTGTCTCATAGTAACAGAACATGTATAACTAGTTGCTCCAAGATTACTTTTCACATTATGCTTCAGCAACTGTTTCCCACTGCCGGTGAATGTTATGGAGGTATTGTGTTCAGTTCGCTACACACACACATTCAGTACATCAAATAGTGGAAACTGTTCTTATGTGTGGTGTATCAAACTGGATTGAACAACGTAGGAAATTTGTAGAGAATGTGCTATAGTACCAGCTATCAAGCATTTCTTGTGCATGTTTACAGCAAGTATAACTACTGAATAGCATGTCTGGGGATGGGGAAAGCTGCCCTGTTTGCTCAAACTCTTATAATACTGCCTTGTTTAATTTGGTAGATTACATATAAAATAGAAAAGTAGTATAGGTTGTAGCACAAGTTGGGTATAAGAAGGTGATCTATATGCCTATCACCAGGAACATATCTATATAGTATAGATATGTTATCCATAGTATTTACTGCATATTTAAAGTAATAACCAGTTGTTGCTTACTAGGTGGCAGTGCACCAATAAAGTAACATAGCTCTGTTTACCATCGTGTGATTTTATCCATCTGTTTGTTTACTTGAAAATTCACTTACCTTAAATCCATGTGATATGAATGATTGTCAAAACAATGAAGTAAAGATCTTTGTAAATATTGCATATCGTGTGGAGTTCGGGCGTGTTATTAATAATGTCTCGAATTGTAATAGACACGAAGAGGTGGTGTACAGATGTGTCTGATTTTGTTAACAGAAGAGGTTAAAACAGCTGTTTAGCAAAGTGGGCTTTGAGTTAATATTATGATAATTCAGACCGTGTAGACTGGTGCAGTTTCTGACGTTTGTATACTGTTTTTGTTTTGTTAATGACTCGGTTTCTCACCGGTCGTGGATCGTGCAACGTTGAGAATTAAATAGTAAGAATACAGCTCTACAATCAGTACTTACCGACTTTTAAACCCAATTTTTGGGTGAAAACGTTTTTAGTGTTGTGAAACCGTGAGGATGCATACCAGTTTTATTGTTGCAGTACTGCTGTTAATAATTATGCTTAGATGAAAACACTTAGTAGATCAGCAATTGAATATGCAGTTCTTAAAAATGGTGGTAATAAATCAAGTTTACGTGCACATGCACCATAGTCTTCGATAACATAGCATTGGAATTTGGGATGGTGTAAACACTGGCTTTCGTTACGTGGGTTAATATTCCTAGACTGATAAAATTAATAGCAATTCTATCAGCTTACTGTGTCACCGTTTATTTAAAGCTATAGAGGCATCATGAATGCTGCCGTTCACTGAAGTAATGTCACTTTACTAAACTTAATACCCTCAGATCCTGTTGATGTTTTGTTGGCAAGTGTGGTGGACATATATTTACAAGAAATAACCAAATTATATTAAATGTTTATTATATACATTCATGGAGAAATAAAGTTGTATAATTTTTAAACAATGTTTGATGATTGCCAATTTTATTCCTTTTAAAATTTCTTTATACTGCAATACACTGCACCTGCAACTAATATCATAGACTAATATATTATTAGTCTATGATAGTATACACACAATACAATTGACTTTCAAATGACCTGTTCGCGTAACCCGTTTTATAAAGTTTATAGCTATAGCAGTGTATAGAGAACATTCATAAATGTCATTGAATTTTATCACTGTTTACAATACTGTAAATATCAATAATTGTCATATTTACTATTTTGTGAAGCTGAAGCAGTTGCACATATCCATACATGCAACTCAATAGCAGTGTAAATGTAAAAAGTTGGTGGCAAGTGGACTTATAATTTCTCTAAAATATATAAACAGTAATTCAAGTCATATATTATAGTATCAAGCACTAATAAACAGGTATTTATTAGCTCTTGATAGTATACCCACTATGACTCAGTATAACCGAAATGAAATGACACTCACATTATTATGCGATACATATTGATTATTAAATGTAACTCCAACACATACATGATTGTGAAATTGTGCAAATATATTGACTTAATAAAAAAATACCATTGGAGATTCACACGGGAACAGTGGTCTGGAATTCGCGAGTAGATTATCATTCTCATTGCATCAAAAATATATGCATAAATATTTCTGTAATCAGACACGCACTTTTATTATTTGAAACAAATTGGGTGCTGCCATGACACTGACTTGTACTGCCCCTGATGCCCTGATGCCTGCCTTTAAAGATTTATTTTGCACGTTTCAGAAGCTAAAAAAGTGTTATTATATATGCCTAACACTATGATGAGTAAATAACAGATTATTTTTGAAAAAAATTATTATGGACAACTACAGAAAGTCCATAACAAAAATTTACAGGAAACTACTGACGTTTCAGCAATAATACTTCTAATTTCAGACTATACGTGTGAAGTTTCTTGATTGCTGCCAGACAAAAGAAATTTTGCAAAGCAAGCCTCATCAGCAGCCTAAGTGACAAACAGGCCCAAACTGCTGAACGTGCCAGTGAACGAAAGGGGTTGCAGGCTGTTAGCTCGGCACCAGCAGCAATATATACATGTTACTGATGTAGGTGTACCTACATGCACAGCTTTGATAGAACAGCACAAATAATGGTGCTACCAGTATTACAAGCAAATGATCATTGGCAGTTTTAAAACATTAAAAAACATTTAGTGAATACTGAGTTACAAAATTATTTAGCAACATAATTCTAAAATCAAATATTCATCAAACCACGTTTAGGGAGAGGTTCATCATCAATGTTCTCTTTAATAAGATGGCATATAAATAAGAATAAAAGTACCAGACCATACCCGTGATTATTAAAGAATGTGTAAACTATGCAAATACAATACCCGATGAAAAATACAACAAGAGATGCACCAATAAATTGGTAGATAGACATTTTTATAAATTAATATATACACTTTAAAAAGTAATAATAAACAGAAACTTAATGGTACTAGGCCTTCATGGTTTGACAATTACACTGCCACAATTTAAGTTAGTTTTTGTGCAAAAGCTGACTGGGCTGCTTGAGTTGCTTTCTGAATGACCAGTGGACACGTGTCTTGCCGTACAAACCGGTGTTCTTTAAACACGCCCTCATTACGTGGAAGCCCATGCGTACCATCAGCATAAGTTACCACTCCTATCAATTGAAATTAGGGTTATAATACCTCAAATGTGATATCTCTATCTTCAACTTAATGCATTGCTTTAAGCACATGAAGTTTGGATAAAGTGTCATTTTATTCATACTTAGATACCACTTACCTAGACCATTAATCTTGCCATCCTGAAACTCGCCCTCAAACATCATTCCATCACTGCGTTGGAAGATCCCCAATCCATGGAATTTGCCAGACGTAAATTCTCCCTGATACCTAAAGTTAGAATTGCCAGATAATACCTAATTATGGGCAAATAAATACTACCTTATAAGATATAGCCACATCTCAATTTAATAATTGTCTTACCTTGACTTGTCTAGGAACATCATGACACCATAACCATTGCAAAGTCCATTTTCAAACCGACCATCATAACTGGAGCCATCACTAAAAGTCATGTACCCAAGTCCATGGCGTTTACCATCATCATTCCACTCTCCTGTCAATGTAAATATATAATGGGAGAATGACGAATGATGGCAAATAAATAATTGCACAATTACAACGACACTAATGATAATAGCCTCGTTCACACGAGACCTCGTATTTATGAAATACGATATTTGCGAAATACCGAATCTGAGACAAATACGTGTCCGAGCGTTCACACGCTGATTAGGGCCCATTCACACCAGAGCTACGCTCATCACGATCGCCCCACGCTCCAAAACTTTGCCCGAGCGTGGTTGAGAGCGTGGCCAATTGGGCCCCAGCCGGGCCCAGCGCCGATACTACGATCTAATTACGTCGATACTACGATCTAAGTGCGTCTTTACCCTGATCTCATTGCGCTCAACAAGCTTTCACCACGCTCAACACCACGCCCGCATCACGCTTGCACTGGGCTCACTGCGTCGTTATTGCGACCAATCAGATCGCATTGCGTTCGAACAACGCTTGCACTGCGCCTAGGCAACGCTCGCCTCGCCTCAACTGCGCACCAATCACGCTCTAGTCAGGTGACGACTGCGCTGGCAACGATCATATAATACCGCGCCGCGTTCTATACATCATCATTCATTCTGCCGTGCTGTCAAGATTAACATCAAGATAATTAAGATCAACATTATGAACTTAAATCAAGATTAACATCAAGATTATTTTCTACAGACACAACTATGCCGCCAAAAGACAAGGGGAGAGGCCGTGGAAGGGGGAAAGGCCGAGCAAAGAACCCAAAGAGGTGCAGGAGTCCATTATCTCCATCAAGTGTTGCCCTGGAATCAGAGCCTGAGCAGCCTCAAGAATCCCTGCCTCCAGCCACGCAGGCCCATGAGAGTGACGTAGACACCGACACTGCGGGTGTCACCAGCAAGACCAGTGTAGTCAGAAAGGGCAAGAAGAATAAGTTCTACAGTTTCCTGACAGAGGAAGAAGAGCAGAGCATGGTGGATTGGCTGGCAGAAAACACTGTCTTCTACAACAAGAAGGCCTACAAAGACATGACGAAGAAAGACGAAAAAGCTTTTCTGTATCGGGTGTCTTGCTTCTGGATTCTCAGCCCAATTCTGACAAGCAGTTCATCGAACATCTCCGGAGGCATCCTCAGGAAGTTGAAGAAGGATGCTTGATCTTCCATGCGGAGCTCAGCCATGAGGCGATCATAGTGACCATAGAGAAGTCGTCTTTCTACCGAAAGCCACGGATGCACCCAGCAAGATCTTCGTTGTCTTCTATTTCTCCTCCTCGTCCTCCTCAGCATGATGAGGGCTTGGCAATTAAGTAATTCGAGTTGTCCTTCTACGAGAAACATGGCATGGAGTAGTGTTGCCTTATCCATAGTGGACACTGAACTGGTGGGTTGGCCAGGGTAGCACCCCAATTTATACCCCAAGTTTGCAGGACGTGATCTGAGCGTGGTATTGACGCAACTGACACGTAATGCGAATGCCACAACGGCGTGGTCTGAGCGTGTTGGGCGTAGTACAATCGTAGTACGAACGGGTCGAGCTTGCTAGAGATGCACCATAGTCATAGCAAGAGCGTGGTCAGGTCGCAGAGACATCTCCATGGACGTAGTAACAGCGTGATGAAAACGTATTGACATCGTGCTGAGAACGGGGCGACAATTTTCACGCACCCGACACGCTTGCGATACGACCATTAAGTTCGTACTACGCTCGAGTTACGTGGGTACTACGCCTTCCACGTCTCTAATACGCCCGCACTGCGCTGTATTTCCGCCACGCGCGCATCACGATTATTTTGAACATGTTCAAAGTTTGGCCATGCTCGCCACGCTCATGGTGATTGAACCGCGCTCGATCGCGATCGCAGTACGTCCATATACGTTCATACTGCGTTCTACACGTTTCCACCACGCTCTTAGAGCGTAGTACGTGCGTGGTGCGATCGGGGCCCTGGTGTGAATGGGGTATTAGTGGCTCCAGAAATACGGTATTTGCGAGCTGCGAGCTGCTTTAAACAATCAAGCAAACAATGCAAAATAAACAATGCAATGCGCACCAACTGCCGATAAAATACGTAGACTGGTCCGCACTCGACAATTCCACTCGCGTTACACTGGAACTGTCGAGCGCGGACCAGTCTATAAAATACGCGGCTTCAGAAATACGGTATTTAGCGTTCACACGAGGAAATGCGCGGTCCAAGAGATCCGGTATTTCTCAAGCACGGCAAATTATTCGGGGTCTGGGAAGCCGCGTATTTACATCAAATACCAGATCTGTTTAGGTACCGTATTTCTTGGACCGCGCATTTTTCCTCGTGTGAACGCTAAATACCGGATTTCTTGCTACGTGTGAACGCGGCTTATATTATTTATTTACCAGGTTGATGCTTGTTATATTAGTATATTTATTCACCTGTATATTCTGATCCATCTGAATACTTGTAAGAACCGTGTGTTGGCATCTTCTACAAGCGTTAGCGTATCCAGTATTACAACAGCGAAACCAAGAACTATCTGCAACAAACAATTTAGATCTATACCAAAAACTATGAAACTACAATAAACCCATACTGTATAGCCTTGTTCATGTTTATCCCTAAACTTAAATTTCTCCTGCTGATTCAAATTGAACCTTTTACTATCACCCATTATTGCAATAATTGACTCAATCAATAATCACAAAATTACATTTGCAAAATTGCCATTTCAACAATGTACGACACCCACATCTGTCCGTGTTTGTTGTGATCATTATCTGCTCACATGAAACTATGGTGGAGCTATAGTGATGCTGTCCATAGCAGGAATTCCTACTTGTACATAAACTCACTTCTGCCGTATTAGGGTTAGGTTATCATCATGTCTTTTGGCGGTATGCCCACCTGCTATAATTTTTTATAAGTTTGTTCACAGTGGCCTGAACGCAGGCAAGATTGTGTGATGCAGAGGAGTATTTAAATGGCATTTGTATAGAATTATTAGGCAATAAAAGGGTGCCTAAACATTTTGGCTTTAGTATTAAATACAATTTGTATTAATTTGCTATCATTTTACTATTGGCCAAGTGCCTGTGATATATCACTGTACAGCCACACCTGTGTAGCCTTTTGCTCCATAATTAGAGCACCTGTGGCACAACAGAGATACACAGCCAGGTGAAACTAACCACAATACTATTAATAGTAAACTATACGTAGTACATGGGTTAGCTTCATCCATACTAGTAGTACTAGTATTACAACTACTCAACTAGCCTAGGCTAGAACAACAGCACAAACACTGATACTGTTGTACCTACTAGGAGTGTAGCGATTCACCGATACACCGCAATACAGCAGCCCACAATACGATAATCGATACGCAGTGTCCGGGGCGCACCAGAGGGCGTGGCAACAGCCAGGTTACCTGAGACTCTCACAACAGTTGCAACTTGCAGTGAAGCGTTATCATCGGCTCTGCTGATAAATGCCCCCCCCCTCCACACTTCTTCCTTCTTCCAGTGTATCAATTATAATAGCGTAATGTTCCTGCACCGACGCACCGTTACCATTCAGACTCAAACTAGCTTTAATTTGTAATTTTACAGTACCCTGCGATAGCCACACGAAAAGGAACCGGCGTGACCTAAGCAGTAAAGTTACAGCTCTATTGAATACAGCACTAGACGTAGCCTGACCAGGCTCTACAACTTTTTCACGTTGCGAGAAGCGAGACGGCAACTTATGGCCACACTGGACATAAACTGAAGCACCTGTGAAAATATTTATATATAATCTCATAAAGACTTCAAAGTACAAGGGACTATATCGAAGATGGAGTGAGACAAGGTTAATCAAATAGACAAATCAACAATGCGACTCACCATGGTAAAAGCTTCAATTTTGAAAATTAATCAAAGCGGAAGGAAGAGAATTCCAATACGGGGTGACAGAAACAAAGAAGCTAAAATCAAAGCGATCCTTTAATTATGGCATTGATGTCGAAATCAATGATCACGGCGCTCAGATGATCGAGTGCTATGAACACTCGGATCAGACTTCATTAAGCAACTTAAAGAGGAAATGCCAATCTTCACATGACCATGACAAATTTTATGAAAGGTTATAAGTTATATGCTTAGCACTCAGCAAATAGAGATAGAGTTTGGAGAGTTAACTCCATATTGATTGGAGATTTAACATTGAGACACTGTGCGCCACTACCACACCTAGTCTGGTTAAGCTACTTACGCTCTTTCAAGAGCCCAACTCAGTATATGGAATAATAATAAGAAGAAGAAGAAGAAGAAGAAGAAGAAGAAGAAGAAGAAGAAGAAGAAGAAGAAGAAGAAGTTTAGCATGGTAAAAGCAGACACGAAGTGAAAGCCAAGCAGGTTGAGTCAAAACAACTTCAGAACTATCCTGTTAGTTTTCAGAATCCTATCTGTATCACATCATAGCTGTATGCTGTGAGTGTGAATGGCATCTAATTCTGAGCAGTTCTAAAGTGGGCCCATAGGTATACCAGCCTGGCAAATCATATTCTAATATGGAGAGAACCATAGTTTTTAATGCCAGGGACCAACTCATATTTTAAAATAAGTTCATTTGGTTGGTAGAATAATAGATCTATCTGGGTTAATTGTTACTCAACTGTGTTGATTGAAAACGTACAGCTGACGTTTCGCCTCCTATCAGGAGGCTTTCTCAAAGCTGACTGAAGATTATCAGTTTTGACCAACAGATGGAGTAGTGAGGAAGTAAAGACCAAGTTTTAGAATCAACAAAGTTACGGTTACGGCATAAAATACCAAAGGCAAAGGTACGAGATGCTTTCCTACAAATATAGTCAATGTGTGCATTCCAGCAAAGACTGCTACAATTGACGACTTAGCGAAAACGACTTCTACAACTGACAAGTCAAAATCAAGTTGCTTCTCGTCTGAGAACAATATACATGTATACACGTCAGTGCTCGAAATAAGAAAAAAAATGTGGTTGTCCTGCGGACAACCCCCCGCATCAAAT